AACAGAGTGCCTGCCAATTGCGAGCCTACCTTGACATATAGTCTCAAAATGTCCCTGATGAAGTGTTATCACTCAGGGAGTTGGTATAATTCATTTACTGTAAATAAATCCCCAAACATCACTGGTTTACAAAAATTTAATTAGTATTGATTAATCTTGAGGATTTAAGTGATTTAGAGATTTTGATGTATTTTAAAAATTAATGAGAAATACGACACTTGCGTCTTATACAGTAACTGCACAAAATAAGAGATGATAATTCCGATAAGTCACACCTTGGTCACACGGAGACGACTGATGTGATGTTGATCAGAAATCGACAAACTATGCGAACAACAATTACGTATAAATAAGAGGTCCGCTTGCCCTGCTATATAATCACCCGGCCGTACACGTATAAAGTTAACAGAATTCTTTACCATTGTACTTACAAAATAGACTAGTACGTTGTAGAGTACATCATTCCCGGTATACTCACCATCATATTCATCTTGTAAATAAAATACAGTTGAAGTCACCGACTCCCCTGAAATGGATCTCGGCATTTTTCTGCTGTACGTTGAATTTCAGCCACCTCAATGATAGTAGGTATATCACATAAATTTCCGATAATCGAGCAAAAATTCAAATTCAACTTCAATTCGCATTACAAAAACTCGTTGAAGAACACGAGAATTCGATACGAACTAGCCTAAGTAAACTGAAAGTATCCCACTATTTCTTGTTTCTGTTGTCGATGTGACCAAATTTAAATTAGAACGTTGGACCGAGTATTAGATGTCGTCTTTCTAAAGCAATTGTACTCAGGCTTCCTCAACACAATTATTTTCAACGCAAGAATGATTTTATATAGAACCTCTGATGATTGTATTCAAAGAGAGATCAATTGAAAAAGCTGGCGTCATCTCAAGCATGCGCACAAATGGAAACATAAGGCTGCATCCGGGTATTTAAGAAGACAGCTATGAAGGTAATAGGATTGGTTAGATTTGTGAAAACGATGAATACAGATTGGAACACACCGTAACATTTCATAATTTATTTTTAGTTTCTAGAAGGATTAGCATATTATTTATTTAAATATTTTGAAATTTTGACTACCAATAGAACACTGCAGTGACGTAGGCGTAGTGTGGTGATGACTAATCCAAAATCCTACTCTAGCGGGCTCATACTTGACACAATTATTGTTTTGTAGGCCTAATTATTCATCATAATACAATGACACGTGATTTCGAGAAGTAGGTACTTATTTAATATTAATAGGCTACTAATAATACGAACAATATTAATACAGACTAATAATAATCATAGTAATAATAATAATAATCGTAGTGCAGCAAACCCAAGAAATGATATCGTGATATTCAAGTATTGGTGTCTATAGTAAAATAACAGTATGATAGTAGGCCTATAGCCTGCTATAACGTTTTCAAAAAATACTGAAATTTTTTCTCTGTGCTAATAATAATATAACATTCCAAATTCATTCAGAATTTTATTACTTTAAAGAATAATCACTTTACGGTACATTAGTAATTGTCATTTGTTGTGATGTATAAAATAGATATGAATTTTGTGTAGGCCTATCTTTATAATAAAATTAAGGATGATGTCACTCACTCAGTTTGAGGATTTTAAATTCATTTACAATCTATATACCCTTAGGGTTACGGTGGCTCCAGAAATTCGTCCGACGGATGGGGGGGGGGGGGGTTGAACCAAGAGGCCGGCTGACGGAGGGGGGGGGGGGGGTTTGAACCAAGAGGCCGGCTAGAGCTCAGTCCGAGTCACGGAATAGAAAATCCCTGGTAGGCACATGGACAGTTTTTTTATTTTTTCATTTCGTTTCATTTCTTTAGGTACGAACGCCAAGGATAGGCTATGCCAATCAGAGAACTTATAATCACTATCTTGACATATCCTTTAACAGGGGACTGAATGGACC